AGATGTGTATAAGAGAGTTCCCCTGCTGGATCCGCCCCTGTTTCACCTGTGTTCCTGTCCTCAATATGTTACTTAACGTTTGTGATCCATACAGAAGTATGCTTAAAAGGCAGGGTTTGATACTTGAGTTTTATTCGAATAGATAGACCTAATTTATTATTTCACAATACCCTTTTAGAAAGACAAAGTTCAAAGTTTATGTTATTTTCGGAAATATATCTCATTGGAAGAAATAGAAACATGCATATAAGTTCAGCACAACGCAGAAACTATAAAGTACAATGGAACAATCTATTTTTAAACTCATGAAAATATTCATTATTTGGAAATCCATATCTTATTCTCTTTATAGATGGCATTACGTACTCTGCCTACGTTTAAGACTGGTATGAAGAACTCTCTTATAATTCCAAGAAATTTCAATGTTCAGCACAACACAGAAACTCAAAACATAATCATTCCTGAATTTAAAGACATCAAGAACCAGCGACTCGATGCGCCTTCTATTTTCACATGGGGAAGTGATTTACACAGAATGGGGCTAATAGATGTTAAGAAAAGTGTCTTTAATCTTACTCGCCAAATTATTCGACGAGGGGAAACATTTAGCATAATTATCAACGCGCATGATCAGTACGGCCGACAACGAGTGCGGGGTGGTGATTTTTTGTTTGCAACTTTAACCAGTACTGATTCGAGTACAGCTGGAAAAGTAATCGACTTTAATAATGGTACATACGAAGTTATTTTCTTTGCGGCTTGGACGGGCACCACAAAAATCAACATTATACTTGTACATACATTTGAAGCACTTCATTTTTTAAAGACTGTTTTATGGCCGATGGAAAAGCGTGTATTTTGGACAGGCACTTTTGCGCACAATCATCATTCCGAATTTACACTATGTGAAGTAAAATCTGTTGGAACGTGGGACAACAAATGTGAATTCCCAGAGCCAGGCGCTCTCGGTGGAAACACTTTACTTTGCGAGAAACCGAAAACTCTTCCATGCTCTTCTCTTGTATCACTCACATCGAAAAAAAGTGGTTTTGATGTTATAGACGCCATCTTCAATAAACTTCGAGAGAAACATGCTGATATATTTTCACAGTAAGACATATTTTCAAGTACCAAATCAATATCAAAATATGCATAGTAAATACACATCACACAAATATAGTTATGTGTCACTATTATTTCAGTTTATCCAGTAACATTAATATAATAGAGGAAAATATGGTTTTGCTCAATTTTAAACATAATATTAACATCTTTTGGTTTCTCTTTGTATACATATTAACTTTTTTTTCATATTCAGAATAAATTTGTTCTAACATATATACTATTTTCTTATTCGAGGAATGTAAGCTATGTACAATTCACCAATGGACCAAAACAGCTGATAATACAAGAATCCGGTAAGAATTCGAATGGCCAGATGATGATGTGTAAACTAAAACCTGACAAATATAACACTTCAGAAATTATTATTAGTATGTACTTCTGCATTAGAATTTACCGTAGGCCTACGTGTACTTAAAGACTGTAGCCTACATAACAGTGGCAGATTCAAGGGGGTCGAGCCGGCTGCCCCCCCCCCCCCAATGTTTCAAAATGATAAAGAAATGGAGAGAAAAAAGGAAAATATTAATCAAATTTAAGTCTAATAGTACCATTTCCGGCCATTTAGAGGTGCCATATCATACCCCCCCCCCCCCATCCTGGATCCTCCTCTGCATAAGTTGACGTGTTTTAGTTAACTGACAGGGGCGGATTTAGGGAAAGTTAAAGAAAAAGAATGAAAGAAAAAGAAATAATTTATCGCCTCAAGCATCTCAGAGGTTATTTTGAGGCGTCGAGAAAACAAAATTTTCGAGGAGGCATGCCCAGGATCCCCTAGGATAGCGCTGTCCCCATCGGCCCGACTTTCCCGAGTCCCCCACCTTTTCGGAATATCAGATCCGCCCCTGACTGGTGATGTGATACAGCTGAACATGTCTGATAACTAATTTATTAAATCTTGTTTTTTTTTTTTTTGCTTTAAATCTCGCGCTTCTTGGTAGATAGACACGACACAAAAGAGCCTTGCCAAAGAAATTTTGAATTTATTTGCTTGAACCATATAAAAATAAATCTTCATCAAGCCTAAAAAGAAAAGAATCAGTTTACACATACAAAGGCAGAGCAGTAGGCCTATATTTTATTTTTTTCGCAAAATTTTTACTTTAATTTTATATAGTTTCTCATTTTTAATAGATTTCAACACTATTCAAAAGTCCATTGTTGTTTCTATTATAGAAGTGAAGTGGATACGTGAAGCAGAGAACTTTACAGATATGATAAGTATACGTCCGTGTGGACCAGATTTACCCCTACCACTAAGCGATGGATTTTGGTCCGGCAAAAAGTGGAATTCATTTGCATGCGACACTAAGCGATGGACTGCAGGTCAAGTTGAAAAATGTTTACGTGGGAAACGTGTATTTTTTACCGGGGATTCAACAACAAGACAATGGGGTGACGAACTATTAAGGATTCTCGGCCTTAAACCAACAACGCATTCACGATTTCTTACTAAGTTGCATAATCCAATAATTAATTTTCAATTCAGGTTTCACAAATATTGGTTAGGTTCAGTCAAAGAAGGTGTTTATGACGGTCAATTCGAATCTGATTTACTTGATAGCCTTACGTCATCCGATTGCGAGTACATAGTAGTCATAAGTCCATGGGCTCATTACTGCCAATGGACTCGAATTTCATTTACTGACAGACTTCTTTATATCAAAAGTGCGATTAAACGGTTTAGAGCCAGATGTCCGGATGCACCAGTTATAATCAAAACTTCACACCCACGATACCACGGCTTTAGTGGGATTATTCCATTGTCCAGTGACGGAATGCTATTTGAAGTTCGTCGCATGTTACAGGAAATATTTTCAGGAATGGGTCTGCATTTTATTGATATATGGGCAATGAATCTTGCATACCCTGTACCAAACGTAGTTCATATGCCAAGGGAAGTTATTTACGAAGAGCTTCAGATGTTTTTCACACATGTTTGTAATAATTGAGAACCGGAAATTGTATCATGTGATGTGATATACTGTATATATGTGTGTATATA